TATATATATATATATATATATATATTCAAATAGTATGTAACAAGAAATGTTTCAGATTAAATGAAATCACGCATTCAGTTATTATTGGAAATAAAAATAGGGATGAAAATATTATTTTGCATTTTAATCGAATTTTGTGTAAAAATGTCTAACAATTTTTGGTAGTCTGATTCAATAATTTGGTAGTCAAAGTTCAAAGTCACCGTTAATATTACTTCTGCTTTATGCTGGAAGTGAAAAACATACTGCATGCTAGTTTATTTTATAGTAAATAGCGGGCCACTACAATCCTCAAAAGTTTATGCTCATCTAAAGTGCTTTAATAAAGATTAATGAGGTTAATTAATGAAGTATTAATTATTAATTAATGAAATAATTAAGTCATACCTCTCCATTATAGAAGCAGAAGATTATGGCCACCAGGAGGCCCTGCAGAAACACAAAACAAGCGCTTAAGAAAACACACTGCTAGACCAGCTTATTACTGTTAACTAAAATCAAAACCATTAGAAAGATTTTTGTAATTTGAAATAAAATAAACATTAACTAAATATGAAAGTCCATTGAATTGAAAAGTGTCATGGAATACAAAAAAAAAATACAAAAAACGTAATTGAAACTTTTCATCTCACAATTATGAGTTTATATACATAGCATCCGAATTGTGAGATATAAACTCAGAATTGCGAGAACAAAGTTAGAATTGTGAGAAAAGCCATAATTTTTATATTTCATTTTTTATTTCATTTTTTTATTCAGTGGTGGAAACATATGGAGTCAATTCAATACCACATATATTCACAAAATAAATTGAAGTATTGCAAAAGAAAATAAGGTTTTACAAATGAAAGTGAGAAAATAAATTCATGTGCTTTTTGCAAACAAAAATAAAGAATTGCAAAATATAAATGAAACAGAGCAAAAGCAATCATTTTGCAACACATTTTTTCATGGCCATAGCTACTAATTTATTTTGTATTTATTTTGTGTTTCAGTCAAGTGTGAGCTTGCGATACCGTTTTTTTTACCGTATTTTTTATTTTTTTTTGAAGTGTTTTTTCCCCATTTTTGAACTGTCACCAATGATGTATAATGCAATACAGATTGCTAAAGTCAACAGATGTTACTAAAAGAGCTACCAATCTCTGTGTGAAAATAATATATTGATGCTGCCATCTTTCTGAAGTCATTTTTACCCCCGTGTAATCTGGCTCTGAATCTCAGGTGAAAATTGTCATTTTGACCCCCCTCTACAAAACAGTGGATTACTCCGTAAATATTCATCTGTGACATTTAATATTTTGGCTTTCATCATTATACATGTTTATCGTTCTACTGAAAAAAATTTGACAACATCAAACATTTGAGCCGGGGAAGCTTCTGAAATTTGGTTGATTTGACACGGAATGACCTTATAATGTTATATCGATAACACTAAAGTAACACTGCTGTACAGTCATACAGGTCTGAAAGAAATGCATCTGTTTAATAAAACACTTAAAATGCAATAAAAGCACTTTATGCTAGTGATATTAAACATGCAGTGGAAAGTGCTTAAGCAGGCATTTATTTAAGTTGTTACTAGCTATGTTTCCATCCACCTATTTTTATGTGCATTTTGGATTATCGCATAAAAATCCGTTGAATGGAAACGCCAAGATGCGCATAAATTCTAAAAATGCGCATAAAAAACGTATGCGCACAACTGAGTAGGATAAACTTTTTATCCAGTAAGAAAAAATGCGCATAAACTACGATGGAAACACCTTTACCGAATAAATTCCACCATGCGCATTGAAAAAGTCATGTGACTTTGCGCTATGAGACGGGATAAATTGACTAGCAGCGGACCGATCTCGTTCACAGCATCTATGTTGTTTTGATCGTTCTGAAATGCCTGAGGAAAGTCTGTCATTAAAGAATTTCTGTATAATTACTGTCTTACATGACTGCGTTCCCAAACAGCAGGCA